TTCCTTTTCTCCATTCATATTGCTTGCATGCGGAATTAAACTCAAAACAATTGCTGTAATACGGTTGTTTTATTCATCTTTCTTAGATTACTGAGCGGCTTCGCGATCCAAGGGGTCTCCGCCGCGGTGCTTTATCCGTCTCTGCTCCTCGCAATTTTGCCCCTAACGGCGGCCGCCAGCGTGGCTTTGTTAGACCTGTAAGTCTTGCCTTCACCCCTATGCCCTTGCCTCTACCCCTCAATTGCAGACACATTTTACACCAAAGGTTTCGTTAGTTGTTGGTGTTAATTTTTTATTTAATTGGGTCTTTTAGGCTGATAGGACCGATTCCGAAGACCAACCTCCTCCCAAAAAGCGACTTTCTTCAGCTGTCTTCAAGGTTTTGTCAAAGGAACCCTAACCACCTTTTGTTTTGCTGCCACATTTTATTATTGCATATTGAGATGCCTGAACTTACTGTTTGTTGTCAATGAAGGTTGAGGATGGAGAGATTGTTGAGGATGCTTCCTCTCCGGCTGCTGCGAAAGAAGTGGCAAACAAGCCTGCTGATGTGGAACAAGGTGCTGGGAATTCAGCTCCTACCCTGAGTGAGAGGAAGCCCTCCAATTGGTCTAGGAGGGATGCTAGTTATCAAAAGCCATCTAGAATGGTGAAGTGTCTTAATCCGTTTTCAATGATGCACTGTTTGTTCTCTGAATGTGGAAATTCAAAAGTTTGAGTTGGTCTTGAATCATGTCATTTAGGACTTTGACATTCCTCCAGCTGAGCATGTTCCCAGAGTATTGCCCAAGAATGAGGATCCTAGTTTGGTTAACAGGAACAAGAGGATGCTGAACCAGCTTCGTGGAACCCTGGAGGTATAGCAATTCAGTATATCCTCTTTGTTGCATCGCAGATGTCATTGGTTACTTAACCATTTGAATCCAATTTTGAATGTCTTTGTTGTGTTTAAATGAATTAAAACGAAATGCGAGTGATGCTATTGAAGCGTGCCATAGTTGTTATCAGGTACTTAATCAATTGGATTTGGTTGTCTAGATCTTTCTTCTTTTTAAATGAACTAAAACACATTGCAATTTGCAAGTGATCTTATTTAAGCTTGTTCTATGACGTGTAGGTATTGCAATTTGTTTAATGTGAGAAGCTTGCCTCATGTTGGCTGTTTGAGCCTGTCATGGTTTTCTTCCTTTTTTTTTTTTTTTCACAGAGTGTACATTAGATTACAACTTTTTGCCTTCAGACATGGACAAGGAGGCAAAGTTTATTTTGTCTTAGTAGTACATCGAAACTTAACTGCGAGATGGAAGGGAGATAGGGATAGCCTAATTAGGAGCATGGCTGAGGTGTCAAGATATCAACCATCTAGGATGAAGTGGTGGGCCGCTACTTCTTGGCTGTTATTTCAGCCAATAAATTTATACCCGATCGCTGTGTATTCCTCTCTGCTAAAGCAAGAGGACTTCCCTTTGGTTCATCTCTGGTTGATCATATAATATTTGTGTACCTGATAAATTGATATTTGCTTGAACAATTATGTGGTCACTACACATTGCAGTATTTAGAAAATGGAAAAGTATCAGGTCCTATTCTTTTCCGTAACACATCTGAATAAGGAAGTCAGTAATTTTTTTTTATTTGCTTAAAACACTTCCAGAAGTTCAGAAAGGAAGACATGCAACTTTCTGGATCAGAAGCATACATGCGTAGGTCAGATTCACTCAAAAGGGTGAGTGCTTATTATTTCCTTTATAATATTTGTATCAGTGGTTTTTGTTGCCTTGGAGCTGCTATGCTTTTGTTTGAGTCAAGTATTTAAATAGTAAACAAGTGTTTGGGGATGTATTGTAGGCTGAGCAAAGGGCACGTGAAGAAAGCGAAAGGCTTAGACAACAAGAGCGCGAACAGATTGCGGAAAAGCGGAGGAGAGATTTGGTCTGTTTTTCTTATATCATGTGTTTTTATCGTTCTTTGTGACTCTCTAAAACTGTATTGGATTCCCCCTTTTTTCTCTACCAGACTCTTAGAGCTCGTGTTGCAGCCAAGGCGGAAGAAAAGAAACTGGACCTGCTGTTTCTTCGGTGGTGTGAGCATCACAAAAAACTTGGCAATTTTATAAGGTGTGTAGGATGGAACAGTTATGATCAAGCTTTTGGAGATGAGTCCTTTTTACTTTTAACTTGGTTGTCACCTCTGATCTAATTTTTTATTATGTCGCTTACTGCAGGTTATTTCTAATTTTGGTCCAAAAGTGTCCATATTCACAATTTTATTGACACGAAGATAAGTTTCTTCTCGTGTGGAGAATGTTGAAGCAGTTGATTGATATTTGCTTTCATAATTTGCAGGAATTTGTGTTGATCAAATGTGTTCATTTAACGTGTTTTATGACTCTTTCTTTACTTTTTCTGGGTGTTTCTTTTTTAGGACAAAAGCGGAGCCTTCCATATATTACGCTTTTGCCAAGCCATTGGATGAAGATGTACAGTTGGTTGAGCAGGAGAAAGAACAGGTGCGTTCTGTTTGCAATTCCTGCTTGTAGACTTGGGTATTGTTTGCCTGTGCAAAAGCGACAGAAGAATACAGAAACTAATTAAGCTTATTATCTAGTTTTGACGTGGGATATATGAAGCAATAATTAGCACTAACAGTGGTTAAATTCTGTCGAAGAGTTGTTCATTGCCCTCCAGCACCAGTAGAACTTTATTGCATTTCACCGTTGGTTGTCGGAATTTATGACTTAAAAAGTTCATAATAGAAGTTGGCAGCGATTTTTCAGTATAACTGTGGGGATTGTAGCTAAAAAATTAATTTTGTCCAACATTATTTTTTCTTTTTTGGTATCGGTGTTAACGATTTACTGGTTCTTATTCCCTGGGTATCATCAGATGTTTCAAGAATGGAAAGCTGCAAGGAGAGAGGAGCTGTCTCAATACCAGAAACAGATAGTTGAGCAGTACGTGGCAAATGTTGAGAAGGAGCTGGAGAGGTGGCAAAATGGAAGGAAAGGTAGGAAAGCAAACAATGAAATGGCAAATTTACAGGAGACAATGGACAAGGAACTTGAGACCCACAGGCTTGAGCATGGTCCCAAGACCAGAAAGATTCCTGGTGGAACCAGCAATGAAGAAGAGGAGGATGTGGAAGACATTAATGTTGGGGAGGATGATATGATGGATGATGTTCTGGATGTTGATGAGAACAGCAGGAGAGTTGATGAAATAGCATCAAAAGCAGAAACTGGAGATGGGAGTCCACAACCTGAGAACAAGGACTAGTAATATCTGAAGCCTGTCCTAGTTATTTTGTAGGTTTTGGTCTGTAGTTTCTTGTCATTTGAGTTTTTCTTGTTACTTGGCTTCTATTTTTTTGATAGGTATGTGGTTTTATTTAACTAGATGTCGAGTATTGTGTGTGTTCTTGTTTAACCCTCCAGTTTTGTGGCGTCAAACAATATTCGACTGGGAGAGGTGTGCTAAATTAGTTGTATACATTAATTGGTTTTTAAGCTTTTCCTTCTAAAAAAATAGTTCCTGGGATGGCTAGATACATGAAGTATTAGCGGCCTGACGCAGGATGTTTTGGACATTCCCTGGAGCGTTGGGTCATTGGATGTTTTAATTTCAACGCAATCCTTGCGAGCGTTTACGTGTGGTATTTTGTCATGTTGATGCCACCGGTTCGGTTAGCTGGTGAGTGCGGATGGATGGAACTCTGGGGGGCCGACTTTCGGGTGAGTTTTGGCTAAGCCCTAGAACTTTCTAATGCGATCCGGTAGTTTGTGGTGGTGAATTATTAGGAATAGACAGAAAGTCTGAATATTATAGCAGCTTCGCTGTTAAATTGTGGCGTTGCGTTATTCAATTCGTGTACTGCATTTTTAAGTATACAATATAATATGGTAGCAGATTGTACGAGTGAAATATATATATATATATATATATATCTATAGCACTGCAACTTTAGTTAGTACGGTCTATTATAGAGTCCAAATTGCGATAAATTTAAAGGAGTAGGTTGAACGTTAGTTACCTCCCAAAGAGGGTAAAAAAAGGGTGAGTGTATGCAGTCTATTTGGCCTCTACTCTTCTAATGCACGTCAACTAAATGAAAAACTGAACATGGGAGTCTCATCTACTCATGAGTTTTTTTTTTCGTCTTCCCTTTTCACACTCTTGTTTCTACAATGTGATTTATCAATGATATGATAGTGTCCAAAAACGAACATTTCTGCCCAAGCCGCCCGAGCTGGGAAGCATTCCCACTAATTACTAGAAACAAGCGCTAGAAACGTAACAAGTCGTTCCTAGGAATCATCATATTGTCCCACTGGGAAGAATTCTGGTGCGAGGGTAGTCTGTTCTGTTTTTCATCTCGAGGAAAAAGGTATAATAATATTTGTACTAGTGTGTATTGCTAGTCAACTGCCACTTCACTACTAGGACTAGTACACTCTGCATCAGAAAACGAAAGTGTCTGATTGAGAGTCACTAGACTGATTATTGTTTTGGATAAAAACAGGGAAAAAAAAGGGGAAAGGTTTCGCACAAATTGTCTTGACAAGACACACAGGGCAATAGTCATAAATATAACACTGAGACAGAGCACAAAAACACCACTCCCTCTCCCTCTTAGAGCAGAGAGGATCAACCTTGCCTCCCCGTTAAAAATTGTCACTTAAACGTGTGATTTCTCTTGAATCTACATGATTATTGTTTCTCTATATGCTTTTTTTATACGAGTGTCTCTTTTAAATTTACTTACATGATATCTTTTCTATATGCTTTTCCATACAAGTGTCTCGCTTAAATCTATATGGGTGTTTCTCTTACATTTATATGATTCGATAATGATTCAGTTCACGTTACTTCATCGTAATTTTGTTGTTGGATCACCCTCTTGATATTAAATTAGATAGGTTAGAGCAGGAGTGGATAGTTACAATAAACCAAACAAAAAGAAGCGCAAAGAGTCTCAATCCCATAATAAATAACACTCAACTAATATTATAAGAATATATGGCTTTGAATGAATGGGTTTGCTGGGAGGTTTCGATTCCAGGGGCCACCCACATCATGCGTATAATGTACAAGGACACATGCATACATGCACATAATTGGTGGAGTAATACCAAGTAGCTCACCTTTTTTACATTAGCCAAACACAGCAACCACACCTGCTTTTTTGCTCACTCACATTTTCTTTATTTTTGTTCCCACTTCTTCTTTGAGAGCCTTGAGGAATAAGGAGGAGGAGGGGTTCTTTTCTATCTTTTCCCCTTCCCTGTATATCTCTCTTGGAAAGCAAGCAAAGCAAACATTACAGAGTAAAGCAAAAAAGGAAAGAAAATACAGCGACAACAACAACAACAGAAGAAGAAAGACCGACCGACCCATTCGAGGACGTGAGGTGGGGCTCCCCCCCGCCCCCCTTTCCAGTTTCCACCTCCCGTTAAATACTAAAATGACCTCCAGACCACCCAACGCCACCAACGGCACTCACCACCACTCGCACCCACCACCACCACCACCACAACCTCCCAGCAACACCACCAACGCTACCGCTCTTACTACCCACCAACCCCACCCTCCTCCTGCTCCTCCTCACTCCCATTACTTCCCACCTCACTCTTCTTCCTCCTCCTCCTCCAAGGCCTCCTTCAAAGGCTGCTGCTGCTGCCTCTTCCTCCTCTTCTCCTTGCTCTTCCTCCTCGTCCTCGCCGTCATCCTCGTCGTCGTCCTCGCCATTAAGCCCAAGAAGCCCCAGTTCGACCTCCAATCCGTCGGCGTCCAGTATCTCGGCATCAACTCCAATCCCAATCCCACCCCAACCCCCACCTCCTCCTCCTCTGCCTCTGTCTCCCTAGCCATCAGGATGCTCTTCACCGCCGCTAACGATAATAAGGTCGGGATCAAGTACGGCGACTCCAAATTCACGGTGATGTACCGGGGGATCCCTTTGGGACGGGGCACTGTTCCTGGGTTCTACCAGCCCGCCCATAGCGTCCGCCAAGTTCAGACCACCATTGCGGTGGACCGGGTCAACTTGCTCCAGACCGATGCTGCCGATTTGCTGAGGGACGCCACCGTCAATGATCGGGTTGAGCTGCGGGTGCTGGGGGATGTTGGAGCTAAGATCCGGATTCTTGGCTTTACTTCACCTGGGGTGCAGGTTGGTGGATTAATTTATTAGTACTAATTTCTACTCCCCATTATCACTGCGAACAGTACTCCACTACCAAAATTTACCATCCTACAATTAATTATTGCAATTGTTGTCGCAGCCCATTATCACTCGAAGCCCCCCACAATACACCAAAAAAAAAAAAAGGGCAACCAGTGGTATAGTTGCTTTATGGATTCTTTCTGTTAGACAAATTGCCAAATGCTCTGTCCAAGGACTGAGAATTTTAGTAGTGGCGTGTCCCATTTGTCAACGAACAAACAGTACTACTCACTAGCACAGGAAAACAGAATTATTTATTATCATTTGACAATTACTTATAACGCTATGGTGACGAGGACTGAGGAGTGTGGAGGGCTTACTTTACTATTGGTTTTCTCAGGTCTCTCTGGATTATGGGTTATGGGAAAGGCCTCCGCAGCCGCAGGGGGGACGGGGTTTTGGGGGAGGGGGTGGGTGGGGCGTTGTGGCCAGGGAGGTTGTTGTCGGCGTGGGGATATCTATGTGTTGCTTTTGTCGTTAGCTTGCCTCCGGTGTGAGTGCGTAGAAAATGAAAGTTATTGTGGGGGTGTGGTGTTGCTAAGGTACGCCGGCTGCTGGATTCCCGTTGGCTAAAATACGCGGGAGTTGTTGGCTGAGTATTTGCATTAACGGTAGTATTACCAGGCCTGCTAGTAGGACTAGGATTATTAGGCTGCCCCTGGTATGGCCGTATGGGGCACTGGTCCAGGTAGGGGTGTCAACGGGTGAGGTTTGGGTCCGGATCCGACTCAAATTCGATAAATTTTTTTGAATTTGGGTTGAAAAATAATTTTTTGATACTCAGACTCAGACCGTACTCGTTGCTTTAACCAAAAAATGGATCACATGCTGACATACGGAATATAGGATTACGATCCATATCTTCGAATAATATATTAATAATTATAAAATATAAGTATTTTTAAATATATTTTTTTATTAAATTAACAATTTAGTAATGACTTTATAGATTGATTTGTGGTTAATTTTGGATTAACTATTGCAAATTATTAGTAGTTTAGTTTTATAATTTGATTTATTTAAGTTTGGAGATTGAATTTGTTATTGATTTTGGATTCAATTTTAGAATGTTTACGTTTGAGTCTTCTCTTTTGGGGTAGACTCGGACTTGGTTCTAGGATTAAAGATCCATCGAATATACGAGTCGGGTCCTGATCTAATATATACGAGTCCGGGGACTACTACTAGCAGGAGATTACGGCTGGCTGGATGTCGTCAGCTTCTTTTTTTTTTTTTTTTTAATCACTGCTATGCCATTAAATTAAATTACTATTGGGCCATTGGCATGGATTTACTACCGTCTCTGAGGCATTAGTACCGGTACCCTTCTATTTCTGGGAGGGATGTGCTTCGTTTTTAGAGTGTCAGTAATAATTCTTTCTCTGTTTTCTTCTTGGGCGGAGGGGCAGGGGCTGGGTATGCTAAGCTTTTCTTTTTTGGATTGGTGATTATTATTGGTAAATAAGCTTCCATTTGCCTTGTTTATCAGTTGGACCTTTTGCTTAATTTAATGCTTGTCATTGACTCCTCATCAACATATACTACTTATGATGTAGTATCCATCTCCGGTTGGAATGTTTTTTGTTTCTTTGCTTTGTAGTCTTCTGAGTCTAAGTTTCGTTATTTTTTTTTTTTTTTTTTTTTATGCCAGAGGAGTCGAGTTCCGTCAACTTACTTTCAGTAGTTTTAGTAGTACTGCATTCATTTGGATTAACTGTTTTTTGTGGTATTTTTGAAAAATTTTACTGTAGCAGAGTTTTTAGAATATAATTTTAGGATATTTAAGAGTAGAAGAGTTTTTAGAATATAATTTTAGGATATTTTTAAAAATTTTAAAAAAATTTAAACTAATTTTTAGATTATCTATCTTTTAGAGAACTTTTTAAAAATTTATTTTATTTGAAAAATTAGTTTTTGAAAAACACCCAAAAAACAAAACAGGGGATTCAACTGTTTTCTGGATCCGTGGCAACTCTTCACCGCAACAGGCGCGTGCATGCTTTTTTATTTTTATTGTATTCAAAAAAAAAAAAAAAAAGGTGTTGTGGAAACTTTTTGGGCAAATATATATATATATTTTTGAAAATAACTTTTTGGGCAAATATAAAAAATGGGATTCCCACAGAACAGAACATGAATTGATGGTCTGTGCTGATGCGCTAGCTAGCCGGTTGAAAAGACGCTTGGTAGTAGCGTGCACCGCCAAATTTTTGTCCCACGGATGCTTTCCGTTGTTTCACGGAAACAACAAGAAGATAAAAGCAAAAAAAAAATCTTCAAACGTTTGTTTGTTTTCTGCTCTGTAGGTCATGTCATGTGCAAAAGAGACTACTGTTTTGGTTGGTTAATGAATAATACTACTGTATGAATGATATGCAGAGACGAACAATAATAATAATTTGTGTTGTGTTGTGTTGGTCTAATGATGATTGAATTTGAATTGTGGGGGGCAGGTATCGGTTGATTGCGCGATAGTGATCAGCCCCAGGAAGCAGGCACTCACTTACAAGCAGTGCGGATTTGATGGCCTCAGCGTATGACCTGACCTGCTCCTCTTCAAACCTCCACCGGTTCTTTCTTTTTTTTTCTTTCGAGAGTGAGTAAATTAAAGAAGACCGCGGAGTAGGAGGAAGAATACTTTTTATTATTTGCACATGGGACGGACAGAGCCTCGATTTATTTTTGGTTGCAAGAACTTTAGAATACCTGATTAGTTATCACTAATTCTTAATTACTGCTGTTATTAGTGAGGCAAATGTTTATAAAGAAATGTAAGTTATGAGAGCATCATCTTTCCTTTCTTTTCTTTTCAAGATCTGTCCTGGTTTGGTTGTAAAGTTTTTTGTGGATGGAGGAGAATCTTGGGGTTAATTCTTTTCTTTTCAGATGTTCCGTCCGCCCGCCGCTTATGAGTGCAGTAATGATTGAAGATAGAAGAGAATCTTGGGATGATGGTCTTGCCTTCTTGCTTAAGCATTGTTGATTCTTTATTGTGCAATCTCTGGCTTTCTCTCACAGTTCTGTCTTCTTCCCCATTCTCTTCTTCTCTCTCTTTCCATGATCATGAAGCATTTTCTCAGATTAAAAAAATACTAGTATATAACATGGTATTGCTGCAACTACTAAAAAAAAAAACAAAGAAATAGAAAAGCATACATCTTATCTAATCCGACTACCAAACTTTTGCGGCAACTTACAGAAAGAAGCATGCTAAGAACTAAACATTTTACATTAACGTGCTACATACAACATAAAAAAGTCTGTAGGATGATGAACATTTGTGGACCACACACCACTTGATTCATTGTTATCTGTTAATGATGGTGGTGTGTGCGAGTCTTTCAGATGCTGAATGTTTTTGGATCGCAAGATTCATGTCATCTGTTAGTGTGTTTTGCTCATGTGACAGTTTTGTTAATTTTTTTTTTCTCGAAGGGCAAGTGTCAATTCAATTAGTTTCCGAACATATAATAGCCTTTCTTTTACTTCTACAATAATTGACAGAGAGATTAAAACAATTAATATGTTCAGGTAGCATCGAAGGTATTCTTATTGTCCTCGCATAACACGCACCAGAGGTACTTGAACTGTGCAAAGCACAGTTTGGGCCCCCTAGAAATTTAATCGAATGCATAGCATCAAATTATTTTGCCACGTGATGAATGAATAAAAATATATGAGAAAAATTGAGCATCAAAGCAATTAAAATTGACAAATATTTATTTGAACTCTCATTTTTTGTTAATCATACTTCCGCTATTATTTTTATCATATAGCTTTTGTTTATTGTAGGAATACAATTAACAAAATATGGAGAATAAATAAAATTTCTCTCAAAATTTGTTGTAAAGAGAAATCCCATCTATGAATTCAACCTCTTTATTTATTGTGATTTGAATAAAAATTTTTGAACCACTATTATATGATACCCAAAAATGAGAGAAAATTAATACACTATAAGTGCATTGATGTATTAATAGTAGTATAGTTTTAGTTGAAACTAAATCAAAAGCAGTCGTAATACTTTTAGTACTTTAATAATGAGAAAAAGTTTAGGAAACTGCTAAAACATGGCACAATCTTCAAGGTTTGTTTGGATTATGAATTATTAGAGATATTTTTACTGTAGCACTTTTTGTGATGTGATGTATGTGAGATAAAAAGGTAATTGGGAATATAAAAAGGTGTGTTGGAAATTGTAATGATGATGTAAGCAAATATATTTTGGCAAATAAACAGCAATCCAAACAAACCCTAGCTTACTATAAACTTTCATATTTTTCTTTCTTTTCATAGAAGAATCCAGTTTATCTATTTTAATTATGCCTAAAGGTGACAACATTATCCTGCAACTCCAGAATATAAATAGCAAGATTAGATAAAAATATGAATTGCTATGTTTCGTGATCTACATATACAAATTAGAATTGAACTATTTTTTATTGCAAAATCATCTTTCTAATCAAAATTTAATTTTCTAACAAGTTTTTGTCAAGTCACACTCTAGGCCGAAAGCCTCAATTGTGACTTCCACCACCAACTGCAATCCTTGTATACCAACCCAATTGATACTACAACACTTGAGTACTTAAAAAACAAACAAAAATTAACTTTAGTTTAAATATATACAAAATCTTATTGGATCATTCAATTAAATTGAATAGGCCATAAAGTAATTGCAAAAAGAAAGAAATGGAGAAAAACGGAGGTACAAGAATGTATAGTTAGATTTATCTTGTTAGAAATATCATATGATGTATCTTTCTCCTAAAAAAATACACAAAATTATAGTTAATTACAAAATGGAACCAAAAAAACAAAGAAAAGGAAACAAAATGTGAAGTCAGAAATCAAATCATGGGAGGAGAAAATAAAAGAATGAATTTTTGTTCTATTATTCATAGAAAATGATCATTGGTATAAAATGAATTCTAAGATATCTTAATATTTCACCTTTTATCCATGAAGAACTACCAAATAAAAATATCATCCTATAAATTTAACAAACAAATGCTAGTTGGCTATAACATTATGATCAAAAAATAGAGCAAACATGAGAGATTAGAGATGAAGAAAAAAGGAAGAAAAGAAAATGTAAAATGGGATAAAAATAATAAAGAATTCTTTTTGCTAAGTAGCTATCATATTGACAAAAAAAAAATGGCAACAATCTTAGTTAGATTAGTTTTAAAAAATAAAAAAGGTGAGGGATGACAGTAGTTACTGCAAGAAGAAAAAGAAGAGCTGGAGTTGATTTTCTCAAGGAGAAAAAATATTTTAATCCTTTAGCCCAATTGAATCAAAAAAGGGAAGGAAAAATTTAGGTAAAATAATCAAAGGTCCACTTGTCAAAATATATGCAATACATGTGTCAAAAAGATGGTTAGCTACAGTAACTTAAATTTCTTTTTATATACAAGGTAGAAAGATGGTTACCTACAGTAACTTGAATTTTTTTTTATATACAAGGTAGATATAATAGATCTTCTATCTTGACCCATCAAGGTAGAACTTGGGAAATAAAAAATAGCAAAAAGTATCACAACTTTCTCAAAGAAGAGTTATGCCACGTGTTAAAAAATATAAATGTTACAATAAACACCCATGCCTTCTTATTTAATAGGTAAAAAAAAAAAGTAAAAAGAAAAAGGGAAATCTGAAGATAGCTTCTTCAAAGGATGAACGTGCCATGTGTCAAAGTAGAGGGAGCCACTTGGTAGTTATTGGAGCTGCTACAGTAACTTCACATCTTTTTTCTTATATAACTAGCATGGTTCTGGCCGCGCTATGCAGCGGCCTACCCACTGGTATGAACAGCTTAATCCGTAACAATGAGGATAATTTCCTAAAATATCATCATGTATATATAAGCTCAAGAGGTAAATACTATGCAAATCACAATAATACATTACATAAACTCAATCATTCATGTCTTAGTAGAATAGATACTTGGATGCCAGCCACAATTACATATTAGGAGGCTTAAATAAGCTTTATTGCCCAATGAAGTACAGCATTGATGGTTAAACAATTACTAAGTATATTACGATCCTTTACTTTTTAAGTCAAAAGAATAATGGATCATAATATAATTCAAAAGATATTGTCTAAGCAATGGAGGAAAGGCAATGAACAAAAGATTTAACAAAAGTACAGAAATAGGCCATATTAGTCTTCCTTTGCTTTAGCTTTCTTGGTTAGACTGTCTTTGATATTTGCAGGTGGACCATACAGTTTTGCAGGTTCTTTGGCAAACTCTTCAGGAGCCTTTGTTGGATGTTTAGCATGTGTGTCTGCTGGTAAATCTTCTGGAAACTCAAGGCTTCATTTTGCTCCACTGGTTGCAGATGTCTGGCTGTCTTTGTAAGAACTGGCTCCAGCAATTTCTTCAAGTACCAACTTTGTGCTTGGTGTGAACAATTGAAGCTTATTTAAGTCAGCATATTTAAGTTTGTCTTTTTGTTTCTTTCCAACATTCTTAGATCAGGGGAATCATCAAACATTTCATCTATCAATCTAAAACCTGTACTAAATTTTCTTTTTTTTTTTTTCATTTTGAAACACAAAAAATCAAAATCTAATTTTACTATAAACAAAGCAAAATGCTAATCCAAAGGCACACAAAATGACAGAATCAAAGCATCCTAGAATAGGTAAAACTAAGTAATATATATAAAATGACAACCTTAATAAGCCAAAGGACAATGATACTAAATGATGTAATTATTGAATAGATAAGCAGCTAACAGCATCATGCAACATTTGAAATAAAAAACAGAGGGAAAAGTAAACTATCATAGCATAACATCAAACACATCGCATTTCTTAATTAAGAGAAAGCAATAAACAGAGGCAACAACAGTGAAAAAAAAACTTGCAGTTCAAAATAGAAGGTGATAAAATAGAAACATACCTATATTTTCTTTGCTCGCCTGAATGTTGGCAAAAGTCCAGCAGCATTTGAAAATAATATAAAAACAGAGAAAAAAAGTAAACGTAAGCTAATCGAAAAAATAGCATCATAATTATTCTTTTATTTATAATATCAAACACATGGCAGTCTTTAATTAACGGAAGGTAAGAACATGGCAATAAATATAAATAATAAATAAACAGAAGGTAAGAACATTCATCAAACTAAAAAATTGCAACTTAATATGCTGACTGAAAAATTGACAGAAACTAAAATTAGTTGCTCAAACTAAAATTTGCAGCTCAGTCATCAAACTAAAACTAAAAAATTGCAGCTCGAAATAGAACGGAGAAAGAGAATAGGAATTACCTAGATTTTCTTCGCTCGTCTGCTGAATACCGGCAAAACTGGGAAACAGAGGTATATATAGAGTTGGAAATAGTAAGTTCTGAAAGCTATAGCATAGATGATAAGGCGGTAGAACAGCCATCCCTAAAATGAGCTGATTTTGGGGAAAAAGAGATTTGAGTGAGCTGTTTTTTAGGGAAAAAGAAGAATTCACGCGAATGTGGATGATTTTTTGAGAGGTAATCCAAAGGAAGTACAATTAGTTGGTGGAAGTACAATTAGTTGCTCGAGGAATTGACAGAAAATTGAAGATTTTGCAGGCTTCTAGATTTTGGGGGAAAAAATTTTACTGACCTAATTTTTGGGGTAGGACAAAAATTCACGTGCGTGTGGAGGATTTTGTGGGTTGCAATCAAAAGGAAGGACAATTGGTTGTTGAAGGAATTGGTAGAAAACTAAAAATTTTGCAGGTTGATTCGACGGGAAGAAAGCGGCTATTTGAGAGAAAGAAAGAGGCTACTCGGCGGGAAAAAAGGGAAAGGGGAAAAGGGGGAAGGAAATTCTGGTAAATGAAGAAGAAGGAAGCTCGATGACTAATAAGACCATTAAGCTACTGTTGACTAACTTACATCATGAGTCATCAGTCATACTAATCATGCTAACAGGCAGGAACATTACTTCTAACGGGTATGACTGCATTAATTTGTATAATTATATAATTAATAATATAATGTAATTCAAAACAGCCCATGTGATAAAAAAATTCACAAATAGTCTACAATTATTGCATTTGACCAGAAAATTATCAAAGAGATATTTTCAAATATACAAAAATAACACTAAATAGTTAGCAACTATTTAATGAGTTAGTTTTCATAAAAAGATTCAATTGACCTTTCAAACCAATTAAAAACCAATCAAAAGGAACAAATAAAAATAATTATATAATGTAATTCAAAACAACCCATGTGATAAAAAAACCCACAAATAGTCTACAATTATTTGCATTTGACCAGAAAATTATAAAAGAGATATTTTCAATATACAAAAATAACACTAAATAGTTAGCAACTATTTAATGAGCTAGTTTTGATAAAAAGATTTAATTGACCTTTCAAATCAATTAAAAACCAATCAGAAGGAACAAATGAAAATAATTATATAATGTATTATATAATGTAATTCAAAACAACCCATGTGATAAAAAGGTCCACAAATAGTCTACAATTATTTGCATCTGACCAGAAAATTATAAAAGATATATTTTCAAATATACAAAAATAACCCTAAATAGTTAGCAACTATTTAATGAGGTAGTTTTCATAAAAGGATTCAATTGACCTTTCAAACCAATTAAAAACAAAATAAAAGGAACAAATAAAAATAATTAAACCATTGTTACCAATTAGCCCCTAAATAGTAAGGAACTATTAAGACCTTTAATTTCAAGACCAAGGCTCAAATAGGCCATTTCTCACTCTTTAAATTCCAAAAATCAGAAAACAAACTCCTTCCTAACTCCTTCCTCTAACAATATATTGACACTTGGCATTCAAGGGAGAACTTGAGTTGTTCTCTTATCTAGTAGGTAGATATAGATAGATATATGCAGAATTTTTTGAAAATAATAAAATAATATTACTATAACACTTTTTCCTAAAGTGATAAAAAGTTGATTAAAAAATTAACGTGATTATTATGCTCCACTTGGCATTTGCAGGTTTAAATAAAAAAAAGCAGTTCAAATCGTCCGATAATTTCTGATTCCGGCACAAGACAAAGTAATTAATTAATCCTTTAACACTACTGTTTGTTATTCAAGACCCTTTCCTCTCAGGAAAAGGCAAAGAACAACTAACTCGAAGATCTCAGGCTCCAGGAAGAGAGCCACCCAGGTAGACAAACTATTAAATTCTTCTCCATGTACAGCAATATATAACCGTTCGGCAGATTTGATCCTGCATTTTCCCTCTAATCACACGCTTCATATCCAAAAACCAAGTTCTACCACCCAAAGAGGTTCTTCCTAAACATTGCATCGGCCATCATCCACAGAGAGCACAGAAAAAGGACCATGAAATTACAAAATCAACGTGAGCAAAACAGGATTTCAAAGACTAACAACAATCCATAAATACTTCATAAAACAATTCTCGCATCATATCCAAATCAGAAAACAAAACTTTCAGAGCAATTTCCTACATGTCACGCAGACTCTGAACAGAGGGGAATGGAATAATTTTTTAAAACTCAAAGTTGTTCAACTCCGGATATAAAACGTCGTTCATGTTTTCATTTTAGGCAACAGACGATTTATGCCTTCAGCCGACCATAGAACTTCTGCTTCTCCTGTGTGGTCTGGAAGCGACCATGTCCAAACTTAGAAGAGGTGTCAATAAACTTGAGTTTAATCTCTTCAAGAGCAACACGAGATGTCTGGTTCAGCAAGGACTGACGAAGTGTGACAACCCTTTTCTTGGGACCAACACAGCAACCCTTGATCAACAAATAATCATCCTTAACCACACCATAGTGGGGAAATCCACCCATAGGAGTAATATCCTTCTCAGTCCTGAAAAGTGAAATTAATTTCCAGTAAGAACAGAATTAAGAAACTAAAAGTCAATCGTAAAATCAGATAATGTAACTGCAAGAGAATTTTACAATTTTAAGAACAACATCATTTCAATTCCGGTTATGCAAAAGAAGTGTACCACGAGCATGTTATTAATATTAATTTCAATGAATCAAAACGTACAGATACAAATCCCCAAAAAACTAAGAATTACAGACTACTCGCAAAAAAACTTGCTTGGTAAAACAAAATAGATTCGGTTGGTGAAGTGAATATATCGCTTGACATCCACAGAAAACATGCATTGCCATCCACTAGTAAGAAAGCCACAATTATATGTCCAAAACAAAGACAAACTGAGGAGAGCAAAACCAATACTTCTGTACCTGTCAAACTCAGTAACAGCAGTATGTCCTTCTTGGCCAGCCTTTCCAAGCTTGTAAACTTTTTTGTTCATCTCGGTACGGTGGTGGTATCCATTTTGACCAGCTCGAGCAACCGTGAAGGAAACTCTAGCAGGGTGCCAAGCACCAATACAAGCTACCTTACGAAGACCTCTATGGGTCTTGCGAGGAAGGCGGGTGACACCCCAACGGGTTACAACACCTTCATATCCTTTTCCCTTGGTTACACCAATGATGTCAATCATTTCATCTTTCTGGAAAACAGCATCAACTGGGATCTGCTTCTCAAAGAAGCCATAGGCATAATCAACCTTCTGTGCAACAGAGCCACCATTCACCTGAATCTCCATTAGATGGGCCTTCTTTTGTTTCAGCCCTTTCATCTTTCTTATCTGCATGAATGACCATTAGTTACTAAATTAGCATTGGTCATAATTGTAGTCCGTCAAAACTTATCAGTGGTTCTCTTACAAGTACTTTGTTTCTATCATTTGGCATTGAAAATTTTTGGCAGGGAGAAGGAAGAAACTGAACTGATCAAAGAAATCAAACAATGAAAAGACAAAGACCATTAACTGAACGAAAGAGAATAAGTTACCATAGTTTGTAATAATCAGTACCTGAGTATGAGTCAAAACACGAATAACAGATGCATATTTCTTCAATTTCTCCAGCTGAGCTTGAATATCCTTTTTCCCTTCCTCAGTCTCATACTTTTTCGAGCACTTGGTGAAGGCCTTCTTCTTGGACTTGCACCAATTCTTATAAAACCTCCTCTTGACCTCCTCGCTAAGATGCTGAGCCCAAACTGTGTTAAGGCAGCGGAGACCACGGGGTGTCTTGACATACCCAACAACTCCAACCACCACCATTGGAGGAGTTTCAATAACGGTAACAGCCTCACACGTCTCCTTCTTGTGCAGCTCTACAGTCCCAATCACAAGATAGAATTCAGAAATTGATCAAAAGAAATTTAATAAAACAAGAATATGGAATAATTAAAATAGGGTATGTCACACTGATAATGACAATGCCTATTCTACAATGCAATTCCTCTAGAAGAAAAAAACCGCATGAAAAACCCAGAAAGCTGTTTGAATTACAAAATTAAAGGTTTCCTCCATGGTTCCCCTTTTTCTTCATCCAACATTACAAGAAGAAACAACTATTACCAGATAATCAAGTTCAATGAATATACATTGTACTTGTCAAAGACAAAGACAATCAAACCACATGATGTCCATTATACCAGCTCACTTGCTTTTGGTCATGACAACCAACACATATCTCAAAAATTAGAGGTCGTAAGGAACAGGTAAGACAGCCATCGAACAGATTAAATAGATTAGTTATTGGTGATAAGCAAAAACAAAATGCAACCAATTTGTCAGAAACAGACCAACAACACCAATATGCCAGTACGATGCCAAGTATAACAGTTGCTACTTCTTAGCAAGCAGAAATACTTTTCAATAAGTTGAGAGAAAAGACAGGCTACAAATCAAATTCACCAAATTTATTAAAAAAAAACAGAGCAATGAGTCAGAAGAGGACTTTACTGGATCCAGGTTTCTCGACTTCTCTGACAATGTGAGTCATCCCAGCCTTGTAGCCCAGGAAGGCAGTTAACTTGCAGGGCTTGCTTGGGTCATCCTTTGGGAATGCCTTCGCTGCATTTATTAATCACAGAAAGAAAAATAATCAAAACAAAAAATAACAGATTGGGAAGGCCACGGAACATTGTTGCAGTTGAACGAAGTTAGCCACTTTTAATACGTAAAAAGTTAATAGTTCAACACATACCAGTTCCGAATTTTTTAAACAAAAAAATATATATAGGAATGAGCTTCAAATTCAATACAAAAGAAAAAAAAAAGAATGAGTTCTGAAATGGCAATGCAACTAAGATGGTAAAATTGAGCTATACCCTTTCCCCTGTGACGAGCAGCTCTCTTCCTGGGGAGGAAGCCGAGGGAACCATGGCGGGGATGCTCAAACTTCCTATGCGACATCTTTCTTCTCCTCCTCCTCCTGCTGAACACAATTTTGGGAATACCAATCAAAGCTCAGATTTTACAAAATAAAGACAAAAGAATAAATGCAGCCCCAATAACATCTGGAACCTCAAATTCCAATCAAAAGAGAAGCACCAAACTTTTCAGAGCAAATGACAAGGCTTTTAAGCTTTCCTTGGGGGATAAACTGATTAAAAAGGGTGGACGGAGAAGTAGCTAATAACGCATACGTTAAGATTCTTATGAATTAGTTATTGCTGAGAAAACAGAAAATGACGAGCGAGGCGTGGAAGATGGAAAACCTGGGGAAACGGCGCTGTTGTGCTGAAGCAAGCTGAGAGAGGCGACCACTCAAGAAAACCCTACTTAAAAACTCTCTGCATTTTTATAGGTACCAGAGGTTTATTAATAATCAACCTTGGAGAAATGGATCGCAGGGGCTAATGGGCTGGGTCGTGAGCCTATTGGCCTTTCAAACGTGAACTGCGGCCCATCCCAGCTTGATAATCTGCACTTCCATAAT